TGACATCATCTTTTGTAGTTTCATAAAATGGAAAGGAAAAAGCTATTCTGGATTCTTAGCACATTATTGTATTGATAGGGGTCTCAAAAGCTTTCCTTGAAATTCTATCTAGCTGAAGACAAATATGAACTTGCCTCCAAAGGAGTTCCATTTGTCTCTAAATTATACCAAAATATCCCCACAGAAACTATTTAACACTTAGGGTCATAAATATGTTTTTCACTAATTTATTTCCTTTGGGAATGGTGGATCAGTAAGTAGCACATAGAACCTGACCAGAGAAGGATACTACAAGAAATTCTAGGAGGAGTGTTCCACCTAGCTTTCTACTATAAGGACATAAAGTCTTTATATTACGAGTGTAAACACTATATTGCACTATCAGTTTACATGGCAATTTTTTTAATAGTATAGTACAAATATTCCAAGAAAAGTAATATCCCATGCAAATAATCCTCCTTTGTTAACGATCTGAACAGGAAAAAGCAACTATATTTTAACAAGAAAAAAAAATAGGTTCCAATGGATTGCAAATAGGAGTGACTGGAGAACCACATATATCACTGGGCATTTATCAGTTTGAGAAATATTTTAACATGTTGGCTACATGCAATGCTACATATGGAATAAATGACTTACGCTAATAGATTTTCAATGGATTTGCAGCAAAGTAAGAGCTCGCATCTGCTTGACTGACAAAGCTGAGATGAGGAATTGTACCTTTGTGAGCCAGATAGCTACATTACTTGAACAAACCCACTAACATTCCATTGAAGTTTTCTAACATTCCAACTGGAGAGCTTTCATGACATGCACACATCTAACTGCTCATCCACAAAAGGAGGGAATGCCTACTACTGTTCTGTGACAATATGCACAGATGACACAGAAATAGCAGCAAGGGGTCCTGAAGCAAAGCTTGTCATCAGTCACGTCCAAAAAATAACTAATGATTGTCAAAGTGTGCTTTATCAATAAAGAAAATTAAGAGCAATTAAACTAAATTGAATTAAACCAAATAGGGAGTGAAGAGGGTTTTTTCAGAGCTTGGATCTATTTCTTTCCTCCAAACTAGATGAAAACTGCTTGAGCTGCCATTTAATGATCAGCATTACCACAATAATTCTAAAATTCCACAGATATTAAAAAGACTAATCAAAGCCATTTTCAATGCCAAATACATCATTCATTAATGTGTCTCACTCTCTCATTTTCATATTATTATACTCACCTACACGTCAAATTGTAATTTACATGTCAAATTATAATTCTGGAAACTGCAATTCCTTAGGAAATTCTCACTATAAGCTTCAAATATTCTAACAACTTACTTCAGTGTCTCAAGTGACATTTGCAAGTTATAATTTCTTTCCTGTTCCGGTAATTTTGAGAACTCCACTAAGCATGGGTGTTGTCTTTTGTTGTCATCTCTAACCTGAAAAGACAGTAAAGAAATGTTTAATGTGTCTTAAAAACTAGAAGAAATTTAAAAACAGTCCAAAACGAAGTACTTAAAGCTGATCCTGTCAGAATTACTCAAAGTGAACACTTCAAAACAAAGAATTCTGTATTCTCAGAGCATGATCATTCTGTTCAAGGCAGAATCTGCATTTACAAATAAACTTCAGATTTGCAGATCTCAAGTAGAATAAATGCTAATTTGTACATTTCATTATACAGATGTTCACAACAAATATACAAAGTTCAAGAATAGTGCAATCTATGTTATGTTTTGACAGACAGCCATAAAATAACAAGTCATCTTCAGCACCATGTTTGAAAAATTATGCATCCAGTTTGTATAAATATGTTGACATGAATAGTACCCAAGTCCTTACCCTACAAAAGTAATGATATAAAGGATAAATCTACCTCATCTCTTAATTCAGAAAATGTTTGTTTCTTAATTATGTGTAGTAGTATACAAGCAGAATGCAACTGTTCAGCAGTCACAAATGACTGGAACATTAATTTACTTTCTCTGTAGTGACAGCAGTCATGAAGACTATGATTTACAAAATCCTACATTTTATAAACTTAAAAATTTGATCAAGAACACTTGTAACCTGCAATACTTCTATACAGTTTTAGTCTCATACTGGCCATAACTAGGAAGGGCAACCTGAGAGGCTGGGATAACTGAGCATTCTACTGCTCTCAGCTTTCCATCTTTATCGTGCTAGAGCTCAGTCTACAAAATCTACAAAGCTTATGTATTGCTAGAAAGCTTGATCAAAAAACCCCGTTAGTTTGCAAATATTAGCTAAAAGATCCCAATGAAAGTGTTAACATTTGCTCAGTTGAGACTACATTTTTACCCATATATTGAAACACTTTTGTGTCCATCTTTCATGGACCATAAGCTCACCATTTATATTAATCTTTAGAGCTGCAAAGTGAAAGTTACTGAAAAATAACATTATTGACAACTTTTGATCAATCAGATAATTCTATTGGAAAATGGAATGTTAACAGTTGAAGTTAAGAAGCCTAATTGTTATACTGTTTCCAAATTTATCTTTACTCACTTAGTGAATACAGGATGGTTTTAAAATTATTTTAGCCAAAAAAAGACCAAGGCAGGAATTCTCAGTGAAGTGGTACCATTGAACTGGGTATAATCTGTTCTCAGCAGCTTGATCCATTGTTCATATACAGAATCAGATTTGATGTTTAAAAAGGATAAGTCAGTAGCATGCATATAAACTAGTATGAAATTTCTGACTTTCAGAAAACTAATCTATTACACTTAAACTGATTGCTTGCCCTGCATATTGCATCAAATAAAAGAGCTTTTCTTTGGATATTTTAATGTAAATGTCCTAAAATGAAAAAGCTCTAGCATTATGGCAATAAATCCATATGCAGTATCTAAGACTACAGTTGAATAAAATCATAGCATTGGGACATAAACATTGTGTGTTAGAGCAGGGGAAGGAAAAACAGTCATCTTCAAACTGTAACCTATGTATAAAGTTTCTCTAATTTCAATTCCTGAATGTTAATTATACATGAGTACCCACAGAATGGATATGAACACAGATCACTGATAGCTAATTTTTTTTATTTATCATCATCTTCCATTTTTGCAAGTTCTATGTTTGTCTGTAATAACTAAACTGTACACTACTACTCAATCTAGTTCATTTAATCTCATGAAAAAACCTCACATTTCTCTATAAAATTTCTGAGTAACATATTTTTGCATTTTGATCTAAGCACATAATAATTATTAAATTGAACAGCAGTCATTTGTTTATGTTTTGGATTGAAAAATATTTACAGTCTCCAGGGGATATTTATCTTCATTTGATGGGATTAATGTTCTTTGGAAGGGCAGTAGAAGCAATTCAACTGTCAAGCTACTTGATCAAAATCATTAGCAGCTAAAATGAGAAATATCTTTTAGCGGACACTGAAAATGTTTATTTGCAAAATTCTAAGACCTATGATAATCTGCTTTAATAAAGATTCAGTATAGTCTCCAATAAGGAGGACTACTTTAGGTCTGCGTACAGCTAATTTACATCTTGGATGTCAGCTGTTTTCTTCAGAATTCCAATGTTAATGGAATTGCCCCTAGTGACACTCTTCATTCTACAGCTATAATGTATATAATAGTATATTTTGTAGGTTGCCTTCCTGCCTCCTTTTTTTTTTTCCTGAGCAAAGTAAAAAATTACTGCCTTGTAAGTACACTACAGAAGTGGCCGAACTCATGGCAACTATCAATTCTTAATTTTTGTGGCTGGTTTTAAGTGTACAGCAAAGCTTAATAGAAACAAACATATGCAGATGCATCTGATTATTTCAAGCTGGACACCTAAATACCACTCATATTCAGACATAAAAGAAAGCCAATTAACAAAAGTCCTTAATTTTGCTACATTAGCTTGTTATTTTACTTTGTTACATGTATAAAATGCAGTAGTAATACACGTGCAATACTGGGTATTGCTTTGGTGATAGTACGCACAGATCTGATGAAACAGGTATGTGGGAGGGAATATAAAATGCAGTCTACAGCAGATTTTTTGAATAATCTGGAGATACATTTAAATCTACAGATTCTCTGTCTTTTAGCCTTTAAACTTTTTAACTTGGTGAAAAAACATCACCGCTTCAGAAAAGCTAGGTACTATATATAATGCATCTTGCTCTGAATTAAAAAGAAAATCTAAGATTTATGTGTGCATCTAAAACAGCTAATTTCTGTTTCACGCCTTCCCTCAGTACTCAGTAATGGCAGTGCATAAATTCAGGTAACTAGAAATGGCAACAGTGGCTTAAACTGATGAAATCATCTGTGAGAAAGCAATGTGATAAAGCAGTCAATCTCCAGAAGATATACAGCATATACTTTGCCGCATTCCCAAAGCGAGCACATCTAACCAAAGAACACTAAAGCTAGAGAGAGAAAGCTGAATAACTTAAAAGATTTAGCACCTGGTTTCATCCTGAATATAACTACAACATTTATCGTTGCGTAACTTGATACTTACTACATATTGTTTAAACTAAAATAGTGTTCGACTGTACAATTAGATTCTCGATGGTAAGTAATGGTACACTAAAAGTTCCTGCAGACTGCTTCACAGCTGGTATGATTATACCACAATTAAAATGTTTTGACACATTAATTTAACTCGGGTTTTGTGTTTGATTTGGTGGGGAAAGCAATAACAACAAAAAACATCTAGAGATCTTCTCTACTAATCAAATCTTTTTAAGTACTGCCGTATGCTACACCAAATATAATACCTATGCGCAGTTACATTAAGTCTGTAATCTGAACACCTCAGAAGACCAAAATATTTTTATTAACAAAAATAGAATACATATGTTTCTATGTGCGCATACATATTTTTACAGTTACATCTAGTATCTACTGTATGTTTCTATATACTCTTCACAGCAACAGTTCATCATAAACACCACCATTTGGAACCCAAATAACTAGCTTGTATACTTTTTTAATGATTGATTTAAAAAAAAAAAAATCTAATCAACAAAATAGACTGCATTTTGTATCAAAGCCAGAAGCTACAAGGTTTTTTTACTGCCATACTCCATGAAAAGTAGGAAAGAGATAAGAAAATAGCTATGTGGAACACCACAGACATGAGCCTGAAGAAGTGGAAAGAAAGAAGAAGAAAAGCAGGTTCAATGGAATTTCCTATAAGCAATAGTCATTTTTTCATGAAAAATAAGTTCAGGACTTCTGAAAGACTTATGTCCGTCAGTACATGTGAAGAGAACCAAGGATAACTGCTTTTGTTGGCTTACTTCACCAGGCAACTAAACTTCTTGCCCCAAGAACAAACAGAAGGTGAAAATCCCACTATGTGCTTTCTGTGCCAGGAGTTAGATTGGCTGAAAATTTCAGCACCAAACAGCTTTAATACCAGAATTTTGGTTCAGAAATGCACAAGCACTGTTGGTTTCCACCTGCTTTTGGTGGAAAGGGTCTAAAACCTTACTAATTTCAGAAAGATGGAAAAATACGCGGTCCCATTAGCACACTGAAAACCAATGTGCTGAATACTACTATGTAATTAACAGAAAATTAAGTTGGAAGGTACGTACTGGTCCATATTGCCAGCCAAGTTCAATCTTATTCATAACCCAAAGTTCATGGATGTTCTCTGCTAATTTTTCTCTAATCCTTTCCAGGTGAGGAGGCAAAACAATCTAAAAAGAGAAGAGAGAAAGAGGCTGTTACAAATAAGTTGCTTGACAGTGCCACCCAAACTTTCAGAACAGACCAACTTTGTACAAACCAGACCTCTCAACTCAACCTAAATTAGCGAGAATCTTAGATCAACAGAAATACTTTAATCTATGCACTTACAAGTTCCAGAGTTTGACCAGCAAGGGAAAACAGTTTTACACCCAACACTTCCAAAGGCAGAGAATACATTCCTGGCAGCTGGCTAGAAACTACTCAAACCAATACTATTTCTGAGCTTAAAAAATGTTAAATATCGCAATAACCAATGTAATGTTGTGAAAAACACTTCAGACAAATATTAACATTTGAGAACTGAACTCGAGAGAAAGAGAGAAAGAGAGAAAGAAGCAAAAATCAACAAAGAATTATATAATGATGACAGGTGACAAGTGAAATCAGGCCAGCATGTCACTCTACCTCCAAAAAGATGAAATCAAGGCTGCTTTACCTCAAAAAACAGAGACCTCAAATATACAGTGCTGTGAATCATAATGTTACCCTAATTGTTGGTATTACAAAACAATAATTACATGACACATGTAGAATGCTGTAAAAAAAAAAGTTTGTTCTTTTTTAGGGTTTTTTTTTTCAGGAATCATTTCCTAAATGTGGTAATATCTGAGCACATAGTGTACAAAAATTTGTATAGTCTCAAACTCTGGTCAAGTGTAAAATGAACTCTTGTTATCTGTGATCAGAGATGGAGCTCTTTGGCATCAAAGAATTACTGCTCTTTGCCACTATTTTAAAAAAATGAAAACTATAACTGCAGTGCCTGCCATTTACTGCCCACAGTGAGTCAAATGCCAGTCTCAGTAACCTGCAAGTGCAGTAAAGAATTAGAGCTGAAGCTTGTCTAAAGGTCTTATCACAAGGCAAAGTCTTCAGTAATTTTAATCACACAGAAAGAAGAATGCCTAGTAACAGAACAAGACGTTCAAATATTCTTTTTTTTTTTTGCCTATTCTAATATTAAGGGTAAAACTTTCTTTATTATAGTGTTTGTGAACTGAAATATATGAAATTTCTGGCAAGCACTATAAGGACATTACACACCATTTTTCAACTTCTCGCAATGGAATGTACCAACCAAATCCCAAGCAAAACCAAGTTTGAGACAAGCTGCAAATTCAATCAAATGTGAAATAACATGGGCCTATAGTATGTGTGTTTAAAAATGAAAATGCAATCTCTTGGTTTCCATACCTGGCTAGTATCTACAGGAACTGGAGTGAAAGCTGCTTGTGACAGAGAGATAGTGGGACCCAGCAGGTCTCTTGTATAGCTACGATCCTGCTTGTACTCTCGGCTATGCTCCACTTTCAGCTTCTCTTTCGGTAGCACAGCTTCGAAGCAAGGGGCATATCCAGGTGGAGGAAGGAACTTGAACTCTCCATGGCGACCTCCAAGCAAGAAACGTACCCTGTAAACATCGGAGTTACTTTAGATAATAGAGACACCTCTGGTGTCAAACCTAATCACTTTGTAAGCCTAATAACTAATGAATGCTATTTAAAAAAAAAAAAAATAAAAAAAAAAATTCAATGTTGCAGCTTATTTGCATTGTTTACAGTTCATTTTCGCTAACTAGTGCTGGAGTTTATGAGGTAGGAGGTGCAAAAACCATGGGGGAAAGTAAATAATTCTTTCTTTTAGTTAATTTCCACTTCCATAAAAGTATTCTAAATCACAAAATCAAAAGAGAAGACATGGAGTAATCAGTTTACTTAGCACATCTATGAAGTAAGCAGCAGCTTTTCAAGTCTCAGAAAGCAGAGATTATAACCCAGAGTAATCAATCTACCACCTCTAAATTCTCTCCATTGAGGAGTTCTCCTTTCTCTCTCATTTGAGAAATGAGCCTGAAAACTCCACAGAATATGGTTCTTTCTTTTCTCTCACAGAACACTACAGGCTTAGGACACAATCTAAAAAGTTCCCATATTTTCTTCCCTAAAACATACACTTGTCATGTTAGTAGAAACCTAGGGGAAAGCAATCTTTTATTCATTACAAACTGGTGAATTTGCCATGGGTTTTTGTTACTGAAAAATTCAATGAGTGAGGTGATCATGAAGTAACAATGACTGAAAAAATCTTCCCAGAACAATGTCATGCAGAAGGAATCAAAACACACCCAAAAAACTAGCCTTACAATAGAATCATGTTGTCTCTTTTCTATTTACTGAGTATCTTACAAGATTTTTGTCAATGCTATACCCGAACGCTCTCCAAAAACACACTCAGCACATGAATAATATCAGTCAAATATTTCTCTCACGACAGACATAAAGCATGCAGGTTTATAATTTTGCATCTCATAGCATGCATGTCTATAGTTTTACAACATTGTATCTCCTTTATTATCCAAGGCAAAGTCTAAAGAAGTGCATTTCGCATCTGGAATGAGAGGCTGGCGTGCCCACTGTGTGATAGCTCTTAGCTTCTGTAGTATTCACCACAGTCCTTAAATGATCCCTCACAGAGCATTGCTCTGTCTCCAACAGAAATCAGCTTTCAGCCTTTACCTTTGCCAGTCCTGCTAAAGTTGGTCCCCCAGCTGCAGCATCACACAATCTTTTTTAATATTATAGTCTCAAACTATTCAATACATGAAGCAGAAGTCTAGCACCTCAAGTGTGATTTGAAATTTTATAGAAAACCAGTACAGCAACCAGAATACAGATTGACTGAATTCATATTAATTCATGCTGCTGAAAAGAAAGCATACCACCACCATTTCTTAAGGTAAGTGCAGATAATGCATCTTCAAATAATAGTTACCACCTCGTAAGAAGTTAGGGCAAATATATATTTTAATATCAAAGACCGATGTTTTTCTTCCCATATAAGTAAAATGCTGTCCTGGAGTGAATGTATAGCAATGTGTCAGCTAAGAAATGAAGAAGCTGTTTCTAAGGTCTATCTGCAAACCACCTGTGTACACAGGTGTGCTGAAAAACAACAGATGCACCATCTCCTCAGGACTCCTTTGTAGGTCTCACTATCCAAGAACTGGAACTGTGCCAAAGAAGCAGATGTTAGAAAGAGAAATGAGAGCAAAGACAGCCAGGCAAATATGCAGCATATTCACATACACTAAAAAAAAAAAAACCCACAAAAAAACCCAAAACACCAGACTGGGAAGAAAAAACAAAACAAAACAAAAAACCAACTACACAGGATGCTAACTTTATTCCTGCAGAGAAGCTGACAACCGGGAAGAAGAGGCCATCTATGTTGAAATTCTCAAACATTCCTTGAACGGGCTGACCATTTATCCGGAAAGAGATGCTGGGAGCACTGAGGTCCAAACAGCAGCTAATAACATCATCAGTTCTTAACAGATGTTGGTTGGGAGAATTTACTGTTCGTGCTATACAACCTATGGAAGTAAAGGAAACGTATTTAGCAAAACTTCTGAAAATCGTACAGGTTTTCACAGCAGCCTAAATAAAGAGAAAGAAAACATAGCAATAGAGCACAAACATATTAATACGAAAATATTTAACCTATAAAATATTTAACCTATAAAAATAAAAATCTCATTTTAAGCTTGCAATATAGTGAATAGAAGCATACAATTGTATCTACAAAGCTACTTCTATCATAAATAATATAATGAAATTACTTTCAATGTAACTGAAAATAATTACTGATACCCATATAAACAGTTAAAACCAAGAAAACAAAATTTATTCCTCACAGTAGTAGAAGCACAAATTGAAAAATAACCATTAGTATCTAATATGAAACCTAGCATACTTTATTAAAGAATGCTTCATTATTCATTATAAAGACAAGTATCATACTTCAAATTATTTAGGAAAAGGTACTTCCTGTTATTAAGGGCCACATCATGGTACGCTTGCAAACTTAAGATGATACTACTCAATTTCATAATCAAACTGCAAACCAGCATTTTTCTGGCATATATAAAGACAGCAGCAATTTTGAAGCATATCTATTCAGTAATATAGGTATTTTTCTTTAACGAATTCTAAAGGATCATTCTCTCTTGCATCAAATTACATTTACACAAGCACACCTGTTTCCCAGTAGAAATAACCTATAGAATACAGAAATAGGAAATGACTGCTTCTGAAATTTATTGCCATCTACAACAGAAAATTTATGGAAAAGTATGACAGTTGTATGAAAATATCTCTAGACATGTTTTCCAAAAATTAGATATGCAATGTCTGCAAGAGATAAACCATAACGCATATTAAGAACAGAGCACTAACTTCTGTAAACATTAAGGACTTAACTAAAAGCACTGTATTTCCAAGAAGATGATTAAGATGGCATATGTTTTTAACAGCAGCAACAACAAAAATAAAAATCTCAATAATTCTTCTGCAGATAAATTTTTATAAACACACCACCCCCCAAGGAAAAATAAAAACCGACACTTCCGATATTCTATGTATGCAAAATGACATTCTGATACTGCCACATGATCTGCAGGCTGTAGGACAGATGCTCTTGTGCAATCTGCCCCTCTTAACAGAGCAGTCAGCAGTATAGTTGGGGCGGGGGGGGGAAGTTTTCAGATGCCTTTGCTGCTCTCCTACACACTTTCAAGACACTACGTTCTTACTCAGTTGCTGTAAGAATAGTCAGTTCCACGAGCAAAGAGAGGGAAATGACATGCAGGATTTAGGGCCCCTCACAAATCCAGAAAACTATAGGAAGCCCTGCTGAGAAACAAAGTAGCAGTCATAGCCTAAGGAATGGCCTGCAAGGAAACTACTTTCTACCAGCTCTACATCCCAAAACTCACAGACCACGGTAAAGAATAGCAGAGAAAAACATCACCACAGCTGAGACTGTTTCAAATAAATCACAGAAAGGTGCAATTATTTAATTGCAGGAATAACTAAACTCTAAAAGAGCTTTCAATGAAGAGTGGATACTTCATCTCCTCAAGGCATACTGAGTGAGATTAGATGCTTTTAGATGTTAAAATTTAGTCCACTGTAGGTTATTGGGATCAATGCAGGGCTGACTGTTAACATAAATATGTACTGGTCTTTGATGAACACGAACACACAGAGTAAACGATGCCTTTTCTGGCCTTAGGCTTTAAAAATCTCTGAGTTCCACTGCTCCATTTTAGAGAAATAATCGCAGGGCTGAGGAAACAAATGTAAATTAAATGTGATTCTGGTAAAGGCTTGGTCTAGAACAGAAACTCAGGGGTAGAAATTATTATTGCTATTCAGTAAAAGCTTCATGCTCAGAGGATTACTTCTAAAATGTCATTGCAGAGACTTACCAAGATACAGCCTGGGATTGTGGAAGAAGAAAGGCCATGATTTTCAACATTCAGCCAGCGCAGGGCGCAGGACAGCGCCTCTTCAAAGGAGGGGCATTCCACTGCCTGAGTGGGAGACCTGAAGTGCACATAACCCAGCAACCGGGCACTACCCTGTGACCATCTGCACAGGTCAAGGGCACTCATCCTACCTGACCCTCAAGGCAGAGTAGTGGGCACTCATCTGAGAGCAAAAGCTGCAGCTCTGGTGGGGTGGTCTGCACCATCTACCCCAGTGATGGCCAGTGCCTCCACCCAGAGGGAGCTGCTGAAGGGAGAGGCTGCAGTGCAGACCTCAGGCTGCAGTAAGTGCCCAGACCTCTGTCCCAGAGCAGGGACAAGGCAGCAGACCTGACTGCAAAAGATGTGTCCAGGTGGAGGACCTCCTGTAGCAGGTGGCTGAGCTGCAGGAGGAGGTGCGAAGGCTGCATGACATCAAGGAGGCTGAGTAGGAGTTACACAGCTGGTTCCAAGCGCAGTCTGCAGTAGAGCCACATCCCATGGCCAAACAGCCAAAAACTCCCACCAGCACACACATAAGGGGCAGGGGTGGGGGGACAATAATACTGAAGAATAGAAGCTTGCAACAGCAAGGACCAGCAGGAGGAAGAAACATCCCCTGAAGCCTGAGGTGCCCTTGCAGAACCGCTTCACCACTCTGCAGACTGAAAAGGAAAGACCCGCCACAT